GTGTCCTTCAGAATTAGGCGAGTATGAGGTCTGGGATGTGGTTCATCCCCCTTCATATCTCCAATACCAGCAGGTGCCATGGAAGGATTTATATATATATATATATAATGTTGAGTCCTATGTTTAATAAAGAATGGCTTTTTAAGCGATTACCTGGTAGGGCAGTGGCCTGCTTCCCACCAAGGTGCATAGATAGTGAAAAGGAAATACCAATGGTGCCTGTCCCACCCAAACCAATCTAGGCGATGGGGGAATGAACCCTGCTCCTGAACCGAAACCTGACAGAGATTGTCTAAGCTATGGGAGGTTAGCCTGCAGACAAGGGGCAAGGCTTATGGAAGCTAAAAGAGGAAGGATAGCGAAGAAAATATCCCAGAAATTGTCATGCAGCCTGCATCTTCAGGGGGTTGAGGCTGCAAGCCTAGCATGCCACCCTATCCAGACCGTTTCTGCCGTTAGGCACTGAAGCTATGAACTTAAATGAGTGGAAGGTAGTACCCAGATTTTCAGAGGCACACCCAGCTTAAGTCCATCTGCCAGCACCACTGTTAGCTATCAATTGGCTTGACCAGCCTTGCGACTGAAATTCATGATGAGACTGGTCCCTAAGGGAAGTAACCCAGCATGACTTGGAATGACTGAGACCTATGCCATAAAAAGTGAAAGGAGAGCCTGTCAGCTCATTGCCATTCTGTCAGCACAGAACACTGTTGGCTGAATTCATGGTAGTCCCCTTCCTCTTTCATTGTAGGCCTGTATTTCCCAGGCTAATATATATATGAAAAGAATATCCCTTTGGGATAACTTATTCAGGACAACCCAGGTGCTGGAAGCAATAGCCAACAACAACAGACACCTAGGCTAATTATGTTCATGGAAAAATGTTAACGATCCCAGTGCATTGGCTCTCTCTCTTTGTCAATCTCTCTTCGATTAAAAGCCAAGGGAAGTGGTAGAACCCTTCTGGCATGAATCTCCACACCAGGGGAAACCTCTTACTGCCAGACAGTGGTCCTGCAGATAGTAACTTGAGCATTGTCATGTCTACATGCACAGAACGCTTTGCACTAGGTTCCTCTAGGAACCAAAGGTGTGAACCTCGTCTAGCTAATGGACTGTGCAGGAGTGGTGCATGTAGGATGGACTTAAGCTGTGGAAGCTTTATGTTACTCCTGTTGCGGCAGCCACTGTCCTCTTCCTTAATGATCATTCCCTGGTGTGGAGATGTCGAAAAGGGTTTTACTACACTGCAAGTTGTTTGGTAGGATCATGCCCCTGACGAGACTCCTACGACTTACCAGTCCATTAGGCCTCCTTAGCTATCCTTCGCTTTTTTAGTATTCTCTCTCAATTTCCCTCAATAGTTCGGATTCATGCTGGCTGTAGGTTTGGCTTGATCGGCATGTTTTTCCATGAATATATATATATAACTGCACATAGCTGCTATATAGGATATTACTGTATGGGATGCAATGAGAAAAAATTGCCTAGTGTATATATCGTTTGAAGCCCTAAGCTTGACTGAAACTCTTGTTTTCCAAATATTTAGTTACAGTGGAGGGAAGCATTGCCATTTGAAAAAATGGAGGAAGTTTTTCTGCATACTACTTTGGCAGGACACAAAAAAGTTGTGACTTGTGCAGCATTTCGTCCAGATAAGAAACAACTTGCTACAGGATCATTGGACCATTCCATTATTCTTTGGAATTTCCTTGATAAGAAACCTGCACTTCGGTACATTGGTGATTCGCCTGTCATGGACATATGTTTTTCACCCAGGGGAAGCCTTCTTGTTGCAGGTTATCAAGGATGTAGTATCTGCATCTGGAAACCAGACATTCAAGTAAGTTTCTTTTTGAACTCTCAACTTAGCCTGAAATGTGTCACTTGTGCTCAGAGCACATTTGCCTTGGTGATATCTGTAAAATATCCTCTTAATTTACTTGACTGACTTACCTGTCAGCAATTAGTCATAGTAATTTCCTTTAGTTTTTATTTTTTCATAGAAAAATCTTGTAAATAAAAATGCAGCACTTTGAGGACAAACATCCAACTTGTAAAACAGTATCCTCTTTTCTGTAACCTAAGAGGCAATGAGCCATCTCAAGGAAATGTATTGCATATACAGTACCTCATGGAATTATGATAAATTCCAAGGACATCCCTATACTTTATCCCCTTGATGTTAAAATGACATGTCTTGATGATACCCTTGGGATGCACCAACAACTTTTTTTTTTTTCATTGGCCTGTCATGCAGCATATGAAGGTTCAGTGGTTTTATTTGGTTTAATAAAGAAGGAGGACTTTGCTTATTTTTGCTGTTGGTTTTGGCTTTAGGTCTTTTAGTCATGCTAAGGTTTGCTTGATTGGTTCATGGAAATAGGCTCATTCATGAATTCAGCAGCTGCCTTCTCTATTCATGAGGTAATTCATAACAACATTCCTATCATACTTTTCTGATTGCAATAGCTGTTGATTGCTGCTTCCTCATACCCCTAAAATAATTGCTATTTTTCCTTAGTGCTAGTTGGCCTATTTGTTGGAGATTGTTGAATGAAGATGACAATGAGGGTAGGTGGAAAATGAGGAGAATATCTGTCCTCTGTGTCTAAGGTGCATCACATATACTGCATGAGCAAATGATGTCTTAGACCTTAGACCAGAAAGTGAGAAGACTGCTGAGTCATAGCAGTGCTGACAACAGCCCAAGTTAGGAGTTTTTGAATGTAAGCACTTCCCAGCAACTCAGTTTAATACACCTGTCCATTGCAGTTCAAAAGATGATTAAATAGTTTAATAAGCAGAATGCAGGCTTTATTTGTCAGGGCAGGAAGTTATCGTTTGGTGTGCTGAAGACATCAAGTCGCTTCTGATGTTTTCATTGCTTATCTTTGCAAACTACAGGGTGGCCCAGAAGTAATAGGGCAGTTAGTGGTACAATCAGCAGTCACTACAATATTTTATCCTTTTAATTTTATATTTTTATTATTTTTATTTTGATTATTGATTGCTTTTTATTTTAATTTCATAATCACTAATAATAAAGGTTGCAAATAAAAATTTTAGCAACTGCTGATTGTACCACTAACTGCCCTATTACTTCTGGGCCACCCTGTACATGGGATTTATGACTTAACTATGAGAATGAGGACTCATTTCTAAAATGCAGCAGGTAAGGCAATGGTGAAGTCTCTTGTGTAACATCATACTAATTCACAACAGTTCATAATAACATTAACTTCCCCTTGGATGATAGTGCAATCATTAGCAAATAATTGATATGAAAAATTCCAATCATAGCTCTCCTCATTGCTGAAGATGCTTACTTGCCTATAAAAGGAGAGATTCACTATTTCAGTGTGTCCAAGGAAATTTCTAAAAAAAATTATGTGGATGGCAATCAAGTTTTGAATTCATAAGGACTATTAATTAAACCCATGTCAATTTCTAGAGCCTTTAACTACACATCTCTTGCAAAAGCATAACATGAATGGAGGTGCTATGATTTCCCATATGTTACTGCTATTTTCCTCTGCCGAATCCCACACTTTGGCTGAAATTTAATCTGAGTGATATTTTTGTCAGGGAGAGGCCAGCAGGAGTGGGTTTCAGTGAGAGATATAAGGGCCAATGCCTAGCCATGTTCACATGCCCACAATATATTTTTTTTGTTTTGCCCTACTTCAGACACTGGTGTCAGCAACTTGCAATCCTGCTGATGGTGCAGTATCATTGGTTCCTGATGCATTAGTATGGCTAAGTCATATGTCAGGTATATCCTTGCAATGCAGATAGAGGATCAAAGAATTTTGTTCATAAAGGGTTAAAGGCCTTGATAGAAGCATGCAAATGAGACCTGTAAGTGGTAAGAAAGGGAACTATAAATGGACCCTCAGCAGCCCTCCCTCTAGCCCTTTACTGCCTTAATAGTGCAAAACTTATGTCCATGGGGTTGATTTTCATCTTCCCACCATCCCTTGATATTTTTAATTACCAAATATTTGTATTATTTGCACTTGTCACTTCAATAATTTTGTCTTGATGAGATAAACACTTTTTCTCATCCATTTTGTTACCTCAGCCCATGGTCTGCTCATATTTGTTAATTGTTTATTGTGATGAGGGTGGTTTGCAAGCAGTGGTCTCTTGCCCTTACCATATTTGTTGGATTTATGCTGGGTATCCAAATATGAGAAATATTGGTCTCCTTAATTAGTGAAACCATCGTATCTTTCCATGTCTATTTCTTCAAATTTCCTCCCAATATTCAATATTCATTCCAAGTTCAAATGAGCATGAACCTAAAGCACCAATCTGTGTGACCTCATGTTAGTAAGTTTTGTCCAATAGGTTTTGACAAAAATCCTAGAACACTCATTATTCCAGTATCAACTATAGCCATGGTCTCAAAATGAATGTCCTGAGATGAAGTGTCTATAAACCTGGCTCTACCAACTGTGTAAAGAAGCCCCTTATTTTTTTTGCTGTTTTTTTTTACTTGATTTTTTTCTTTTGCTGTCAGTTAATAATTTGGTGCTTTTTTCATTAGGGATCATATCATCAGATCAAGAGTGCACATTCCAGTGTTGTTCGATCAGTTGATTTTTCACCAGAAGGCAGATATATTGCCTCAGGATCTCACGACAAGAGTGTGAAGGTAGGTAAATTTGAATCTTCAGTGCATTTGTGCAATTTTCCCCATTGGAACTTCCTGCATTCAGCTGCATTTTTTTCATGGAAGTACAATGTAATACAGTACTTGAAAGTGTTGATTCAACATGAGAAAGTTTTGTTTCATCACATTCCAATCACTATGCATGAAGGTTAAATGATAATGTTATTTAAGTCGTCAAGCATAACTGAACATCTTTTCCCAATCCTGGAGTGTTGTCCTGTAGAATTTCAGTGAGAATGTCATTAAATAATGGACAATGGTTACTCGATGTCTGATTCAACTCTGTATCATAACATCAAAGTTTTGCTTAGAAGCCCAAAATCTCCAAACAAGGTGAAGAGGGATCATATACATTTAGGGCAAGTTAAAAAATTGCAGACAGAAAACAGTGATTAGCTCACTGTTTAATACTCAGAAAAAGATGTCATCCTCACTCAGGAATTCATTGAATTGTTGTTTGGCTCATGTTCAAAGCATTTTGCAGTTCTTTGAGTTGATGCATGCAGATCTTGCTCAAAATGTTCTTGAATGCAGTTGACATCTTCTGAGCACCTTGTTAATTACCATTTTCTGTCTGAATTTTGCATACTTCCTGTTTCCATTAAAGCATTGCCACTTGATAATGCTCATACGAGAAGGAGAACCTTGACCAAATTCTGCAGGAAACTTTTGGTGAACAATCACTGGACTTTTTGTCCATTTGTACCAAGCAGTAACCTTTGCCCGTTCATTCACCAAAAATAACATCTAAAAACGAAAAAATAGCAAATTTCAAACAGACATGGGCTTAATAAACAGTGCCAATGACATGCACAACATGCGAGTCACAAGGAAAAATCAAAATTTCTCAAAAACCTTGCAGAACTTAATGAAAATTGACCAGATAAAATTCTTAGGTCAGCACTAACAAACATTCCTTGTTTGCAACTGGAATTCTCCTAATTCTTCTCTTCAATACTTATGTAGGTGTGGAGTGCCTTCAGCAAACAGAACTTCATGTTTATTTGCTCCTTTACCAATCACTCCCATTGGGTTATTTCTGTGAAATGGTCTCATGATGGTTTACGCCTATTCTCCTGCAGTGAAGATAAGTGCATCAACATATATGATTTCCATGCCCAAGCATGCCTACACACAGTTATGGAGAAAGAAGGTGAGTGAGGTTCATGTTTCTCTTCTTTACATAGTCTTGATATGGACAGGGATTCTTGTAACTTTTTCAGCATTAGGATTATCCTTGGATGTATAGCAAAACTGCACTTTATTTAATGAATTATTATTGTGTATTAATTAGGGATGGGTAATTGATGGATCACTTAACTGGTCAATATTGTCAACAATGGTCAATAAGGCCAAGTTTTATTTTGGTTTTTTTTCTGCATATTTTGTGCACCCTTTGTATGTCATGACTCAAAAATGATAAACTAGGCATGGAAAGTTGACTTGTCAACTTGATCACTTCTGACCATTTACAGACAATAATGGTCAACCAGCAAGAGGTTAGGCCTTTATAACTATTTATGGTCATAAATAACCATGTTGACCAGTCAGCTTCTCATCACTAAGATAGACTTTACAGTATAGATTACATTGAAATGGACTGCATTGTTGCATAAAACAGTAATCAGTCGTGTTTAAGAGGTAAATTCTGTGACTAGGTAACTTCATAAGTACTCTGCATAATGAGGAATACAACACAGTTTATGTAACTGGAGTTTCATGGTTTCTGGTATTAGCATTTATTCCTTTTCCTGCCAGAAAAAATTGCCTTTGCCTTGCTCAAGGAAGTTCTTCATAGCTAGATCAATTGTTTAGGCTTTGGCCTAGGCATAATTCAAGTACTTGCTCCTTGATTACAGACTCCAATGCTGACTCTTGGCCAAGACCATGATAGACCTTGCATTAAACTAAAGTTCCAAAGCTGTAACTTAGATCGAAACCTTAACTTTCAAAGTCATTAAGGCTAGAAGACCTTGAACAGCAGGCTATGCCTATACACACTCTACAGCACTCAGGTGTGAGCTCATGGTAGTTTGAGCATTTGCTATATTTTCTTTCTCAACAGGTGCCACAGTCCATATGTTTGGCAGGCTGCCTGAATAAAAATTTTAAATGGAACTTGCTTTTTGGCTTTAGTGCTAGAGGATAAATTGCCAGTTATGAGCTCTCTAAAAATATTTTAATTAACTGAATATAAAAAATAAGTGGTCAATTAACTGCCTCATCCCTTTTATTAATAGAGCTAAGTGAATCCCAAACCAGATCACTCACACGGGGTCCATTGCATGTACCTCTCAGACCAGGGATCAACACAGTTCTTCCACCTTATCATCTCTTCGTTGTCCATGAATCAAGCAACAATCATTGACATGCAACATTAATTGAAATTGAGACAGTTAGATACTATGCTACTAAGCAAGTGATGAAAATGGATTGGCAAAGATGCTCAAAACCTTGGCAAAAAAGTGTTGAGTCAAGTTTGATGAGCTAATTTCATTATATAAATTTGTTTTTTCCATGCATAGTTATAAATGTTAACTGAAGGCAGCAATCTCCCACCCTGGTGTATTTCATTTCAGAAGTGTCATGTTAAGGTTAAGATTAAGAGTGAACTTCCTGGCATATTCTCCAAAAGACTAATTGTCATTCAAGTATCAATAGCAGCCAAACCAAAAGGTGGCAGTTCTGGAAGAAGCACTTGGTGAGGGGACCAGCCATAGTAGATGAAATTGGCTGGATAGTGACAGCAGATCATTTAGTTGAGCATTTGGTAGAGAAAACAAGAAAGCAGAGGCCATGGCATGGCACATCTTTCCAATAGTATTAGGTTAATGAAAAAGGGATCCATGCAGGCAGGGTTGCTGTAGTGGTCTGAGTAGACACCAAAGACAAAAATGGATAATTTCAGCAGTCAACAGGGTAGTGATCCTCCCAATCGGAGGGATGGACAGTATATTTTCTTGGACTCCTTCATTCAGTATCATATGCATTCTGATTAACAATATTCAGGTTATGGCAATGATTATCTCATCTTGAAACAGTTCCTTCCTGCCTGGCCCTGGTTCCTGGCAGCTACTGTTTTGGTGTGGGCTTTGTCAATGGAACTGTGAAAATCTTTGATCCACAACAGAAGAAGCTTCTTCAGATGTATCCCAGTCTCCTGACAGAGAAGGTACAGATTTCTAAGATTTTCATTCACTACTAATTACAGGCATCTCTAACATATTGGTGAGCTCAAACCATAGTTACTAACTAGCTAGCTTAACTAGTTGGTAGTAGAGGGTAGAGGTGTGCATGAGTCCTGCTTCACACGTGATTCACGCTGGACTCACAACTGTTTTCGTGAGTCGTTTACTCATATGGAGCTTCTGCAAAGGCCCTTACCATGGTCATGATGCAAACAGAATTCACTCGCTTGTGATCGTGATTTTTTTTCCGGCGGAGTTACTTTGCCAGTTTCTAACTCCCCCAAACACATGCCACGATATGGATAGGACTCTTCCATTCTACTTCTTTGAAGTTCGAACCCTTGGGAACATCCAAAACTTCACCTTCTCATGCAAGCTTTTTCTTGGAACCATGGAGAAACTGAAAAAAGAAGAAAAACTTGTTTTATATCCCAATCATTCACCGCCTGAGAGCAGACTTTCCCTGTTCTGCCATTGCACAGCTGAGCATGCTATGCAAATGAAGTGCTCTGTGTTCTCACTAGTTCCACCCCAAGCGTTTTTTTTTATGGTGCTCTGCGGATTTTTTATCTATCTCGGAAAGTTTGGACATGATTTTTCTCTACAAGAACTTGCGAGCAAGCAACTACCACATAAATCAAGTGTCATCCAGCTACTACACAGTTTCTTACTATTTACTATTTTAAAATACAATAACTGAAGGAAATATCATTTTGAAAGGGGAGAATAAGGGTAAAGCTGTCACACATGACACAACTCTTGAGGTATCACACGTGATTTTGCGTGAGTTCAATTCATGGTTGCAATGATTGTGTGTATCCGTGAGTCTCATACGATATTGAGTCAAGGGATTGCATGAAAATGAGTGGCAACATGGTTTTTCTCTCATGATTGTAAGTGATCATGAGTCAAAAATCACTCACGCACACATCTCTAGTAGAGGGTTGTTTTAGGCCAGGGCATATTATTGATAGATTGAGTTGTTTTTTATGTTGATATTATAGGGCTGTTTCCTCTCAACCATAATGAAAACTCAAACTCCCCTGACAAAGACAAAACACTTTTGTTGATATTGAGAACAACATGGTAAAATATTGGGCATTTCCATAGGCATTGCCTTTGCAACATTGCAGCAAAATTTTTGGTTACAATTGCATTGGCAACTGCAAGGAAGGGATGAGTGGATCCCACTTTGATGAAATAATGACTTATTGCATTTTCAAAAGAAAATGATGAAAAAAGTAACTTCATTAGAAATTCCCTTCTGCTTAAAAATTGTGATGCTTCATGAAAACAATAGCTCTGAAATTGTTTATTTCTAATTATCATAGGCATCCAATTAATTTAGCAGATGACACCATAGATTGTGCTGTGGTTCCATGATACCATGATGGCTACAATGCCAGTTATAAGTTAACTGTCTGATGCCAACAAACTCAGAATCCCCTGAATCAACACAGAAGATACCCTGACATTGGATGTCTGGCAATATTATTGAAGCTGGCTTTTTCATATATGCATCTCTTGTAGTGCATCCCTCATGCAATGAGGTGTACTTCATGTGCTTCATGTTTTGCAGAAAAAATCATGTTGAATGGTCAATGACTGAAATAAAGTATGAAGTCTTTGCTCATTTTAGGTCATGACTGCATTGACCAAGTTTCATCTCTCCATTTATGTCTGGATGATGACATTGGGTGCTAAAATGTATTCTGATCTAAACTCCTGGAACTGGTGTATGACTAATTTAGAACTATTGAATGAGTTGAGTTCATTACTGTATGGAATTGGAACCTATTGGAATTATAGAAAGAGAACAAGAGAAGATACCCAAAACTCATGGAATGGCTAGGAATGCTGATAGATAGATAAATAGATTAATTGATAAGTAGAACCTTGTTTAATTAATACCTTGTTTCCTAGACAGGAAATATCGTTAAGAAACTGTTTTTCTTTGGTCCCTGAGGATGACTCATCAGCTATGATGACAACTGAGGGGAATAAATTCATCTCCATGAATTTATATTCCGTATTGTTTATCAGGATGGGATACCTTGTCACCAAACTGATAATTTTTTTTTAGTCTGATGCATCAATTCACTATCTATAGTTCTAGTCAATGCATCCATGTTTTGAAATGCTGCCATCATGACAGCCCTACTTCTGGGATATTATGTCACCAAGTGGATGATTGATTACATTCATTCCCATGTTAGACTCTGAGAAAATGTGATAAATCTGCATTTTTACAATTATTCTTGACTCCCACTCTTCCTCCAAAGGTTCGAGGATTATGCTTTCATCCTTCTGGCAAATATCTCCTGGCTGGGTCACGTGATGGATGCATGAAAATCATTGATGTTCAAGAAGGTCAAGTAATATATGTCATTGAGACTGAGCATGGGTCAGTGAATGGTGTGGCCTTCTCTCCCTCTGGAGGATATTTTGCATCTGTTGGGGAGCAACAGAAAGTGATTATTTGGAAGTTCCCTGGAGGTTCCTCCTTTCTTGGAACCTCCAAGGAGACACCCAACAATGACATCAAATCAAGGGTATCAACTCTTGAAAACCAAAGTAGCAAGGGATACATTTCTTCACAACCAGAAGTGAGGATTTTACATTTTCATATCTATGCACTTGTCTGTTCACATTTGGAGTAAGAAATTTCCTTTTTCTCAGCTCTTTGACATGACAGTGATGGGCACCTCATCCGGACCAAATCCAGATGTATCTCTAGATGATGGGATGCATGGTGGTGATTCACTTGCTGATCGTAAGTTTAGCATGTCCCTAAGGCTACATCTCTTACCCATGGCATTTAAAATAATTTAGATGTACTTTTCAGTGTGCAGTTAGACAATTACGAGGGTAAGTCAGAAAGTAAGGTTCCCGTCCATCTATCGGCTGGGCTTCAATAAGCTGATCAACTGTTACGACAAATGTCTCAACAAATCTGGCAACTACGTGGGTAAATAATAAACGTATGTGGGGACATTTCCTGTATATTGTCTTCAGTGTAATTACCTGCCCTCCGAAGAAATTAAATAGGGAACCTTACTTTCTGACTTACCCTCACAGATCCATTTGGTACCAGTATCCCAGGTCTATATGCTGCCAATTGATCTCTTTGAATCCTTTTAGAGTTTTATCATGACAAGATGCATATTTTTGGAAAGGCAGACATTTTTGAATGACAATCATGGGTGACACATGCACACAGGACAAGAGAAGACTTGAGTCCATGAATCTAGTAATAATGAAAAAGATGCTTGCCTCTAGATCACATGTCATACTGTACTATTGCCACAATAAAGCTCATCTTCAACTGTATATCAATGAAGACTCACCTGGTAGTTGCCTTTCCCATGTTCAAAGCACATGGGCTTGCCTAGCCATATTTTGTCATGATCTTATCATCACTTGAAGACCACTAGGGAAGCTTTATGTCAAATTTTGTAGGGTTATTTAAGAAACTAATCCACACAAAATTTCACATCCCTAGATCAAGTGTTTTTGCAGTATAGACATTTGAGTATTGTAAAAAAGTGCCAGTGCCCCCAAGTTTTGTCCTAAATTGAAGTAAAGAGAAGATATTGATGTCAGTTATAAGCTCTTTTGATGCCTTTTCCCATTATGTGTGTTTCATGGAGTTTGAATGAAGATAAAATGTCTAACCTCTGACCTTTAATTCTGAAGAAACATATTTTTTTCAAGAAATTTAAATGAAAATTTCACTCTATGAACAATTCACTCATTTCCTTGACTCAATGGGGTTGAAGTTCTGTTCCCAATCCTGGACAATGGACTCAAACTCAGCAGGTTGTAAGAACCTTGCATTTCTGTACCTAGTTTCTAAAATCTTATCCCTTGGTCATTGTTCTGACTTCATGGCCATAGGTGAGGGTGGGAAGAACACTCTTGAAAAGCAAGTTTTTCCCACCTTGGAAAGTTCTGACTAGGCAACCAGTCTATCAGGGTTATCACACAGCTAGCTGGAGCATAGTATCTGATATGGTAGGTAATGGGCATATACTTCTCTGAGTGATTTGTACAAAGGAATGAGAGATAACTTGTAACTTCCAAATTACAAATGAAACTTTGTTAATCAAAATTGACATGATAATTCAATTAGATCTTCAGGTGTTGCACCATGCATTAACATCTGAAAACTGGCATCAATTGGAAAGACTTCGTGTAAAATTGTGGAGGGGGGGGATGCTTTGTAGCCTCTCATACTGCAACATATAGGGAAAAAAGGCTCTCTTCCTTTTTTAAAACTTGCTCTTTGCATAAGCTGGTAGCCTCCCAATAGACTTTAAAAATTTCATCCACATTCATTCTGCATAAACAAGGGTATGTGAAACTACTTTAAAGATGTCTGAAATAGTAAATGTAACTGGACCCTTGATGGGAGTTGAGTGGAATTAAGTCATATTTTCCTCTTTTTGAATTAAAATTTTTTTTATTTGCTGATACTGCATATCATTTGAGCTAAATTGGACATCTGCTTCTTTAAGACTCATTCTTTTGGCTGATCTTTATGGAATAAGGTTCAGTAAATATGTATCACTATCATTTAAGACTGCTTCAAATTTCTTCTGAAAGGAGTTCCTTTTACCAATTTTAATTGCCTGTTTCTTTTAACTCTTTGTCTCCAAGCAGCCACTATATCGGCACACTTGATTTCCCATTTGTACAAGCTGCTAATATATCAGCTTATAAGTTTTGTTCCATTTCACGAGCTATCCCACATTTATAAAACTAGAACTCCTTTTGCTAATAAAATACCTTCCATCTGAGTACCTATTCAATAAAAGAAAGACTTGTTTTCAGCGATTTACAAATTGCTCCGGAGACAGTTAATTAATCACTCTTATTCTTACTTTGGCCAAATAAATTCAAAGGAACCATTACAATCCTCTCAGGAACATATAAGTCTGTGCACAATGCCACAATGCATGTTTCATGCGAATATCTCCAGGAAGAGCTCAGATGTATGGGCTTGAAGTATAGGGTCTTTTTTGCTATCACCTTTATATTTGCTACTGCTAAAACACAATGGCTTATGATGTTGAAACTCAGTGGACTACAGAGAAATGGAGGTTCAAGCAAAATGACCAAAGAATGTCAATGTGGAATGGATGTCAGTTTTTGTATAGCTAATCTAAAGCTAGGTTTCCTTTTTTTATTATGATATAAAATGTACAGGTTGTCCACGAAGTCTTTGATACATTGAATACTTTTAATACCTCAAAAGTATGATACATATGACAATCCTGTTTTTTTATTATTTTTTTTATCAGAAAGAGTAACTCAAAGAATTTTTACCAGTTAAGAAACAACTTCAATGTGTGCACCATTAGTGACACGCAGAAATGTCCAAACGATGCTCCACTTCTTGCCAGGTGCACTGGAGCATGTCTGGAGTCATGCTGGCAATGGCATCCTCAATTCTGCCACAAAGATGGTTTCCAAAAATTTGTCACATCAGTTTTTTTTATTGAGTTCACAGGTGCTTCTTTCTGGTACACTTGATGGTAATTATGCTGCACGGTAAAACCAGACTTCAACTCCGCAAACCAATAAACACGTTGGTCTTTTTCTTGTGGAGTCACCATTTTCTGTCAAGTGCTGTTTCACACTCCCAAAAATGAAACAAAAGAAAAGATTGGGTTAAACAAACTCTTTGAGGTGCTCTATCTAATGCAAAAAAACGGATTGTCGTATCTATCATACTTTTTGAATTGTGAAAGTTTATAATGTATCAAGGACTTCATGGACACCCTGTATATCTCTTCCTTCCCTCCAGCCCTATAATTTGAATTTACTGGGTTTTTTTTCTCAACAGAGGGAGCCCTGGAGTTGCTTCAGCTAATAGCAAACAAAGTAGGAGTGCTGGAGAAGAAGATGAAAGATATCTGTGACAAAGTTAACAATATGGAAGAAAGGCTATCCTCTGTGGAAGAGATGCAACAGATTAAGAACAATATGGGAGAGAGATTGTCCAGTATGAAAATATCTACTTCCACTGGTGCTGTGAAGATGATGCAATCTGAGCATGTCGATGGCACTTAGGCATAGGAATATATACATTCCTGTCAATGGGCTATGTACAATATTGAAATACTTTTTGATGCTGTTTGTTGATTCTGCTGCTTAGGGAGGGGTTCAGCACTTGCATGAGAAAATGAGTAGTTTTCATGCCTCGGTAACAGCCTTCACATTAATTACCTATGGGATTGCAAAAGTTTCAATGACACAAATTTCAGGATGACTTTAATTTATTTCCACATTGTAAAACTTTGTGCCATGCACATTTTATGCTGGATTTTGAATAAAACCCTTTTCTATACTTTTTTTTAATAATACAATTCATATTATTTGATTGTCAAGACCAGTGCTCCCCAAACTTTTTGAGGTGAGGGCCTCATGGATACTTTGGTCCACTCTGGGTGGGCTGCATTGAAAAAGATCCATTATTTCTGCATAGTTAACCCTTTATCTGACCATTGATCCTGTGGACAAGCTAATCTAAACCAGGAATTCCCATTTGAAAAATGAGCAACAATCGAAAACTGCCCATTCCTACCAAATCCACACATATTTCCATCTCTCATAGTCATGGAAACTGCCACTACTTGGAGTCAGGGCTCATGTACACACATTGGTTCTAGATGCTGCTTTGTTAGAAGTTGTATTTTTGATAAATACTCCTTTTTTTCTCCATTTACTTGTGAGAAAATACATTTTTCTCTGCAGTATAAGGATGCTCCAAATTTCAGACATGTTCAGCAGGTGCACACCTAAATGCATAAGCATCTAAATGTAAACAAGTATTACACATATCTAAATATCTAATTAATGACTAAACCTGCTAGTTTTCAGTGAAGTATTAAAAATCTGGAAATTAAAAGTGTTAATTGTTTATTCATGAGTGCCAATAAAATGGTTAAATGTGAAATAGTTCATTATTAGTTAATCTTAGTGGGCTGCACTTTGAATACCACTGGTCTAGACAGTGCACTCAAGGAAAGAATACATTGCTCAAGCAATCACCTGTCCTAAGTGATTTTGTCTAATAGGGGGGGAATAGGCATCAAGTCAACAGCTAGAGTTGTCCAACTGTAGTCTTCTAGCAGACTCTGAAGAGAAGACCTTTGAATACCCCAATGCATTCATCTGAAGCAGGGGTCTCCAAACTACAGGCTTGATATGGCCTTCAGTGTTACTCAAAACGTATTGTGCCTTGACCAGGAATGTTAACACATTCACTGCCAAGCATTTGAAGGTCCCCCAATCTCTCCTTGCCAAGCATTTTTGTGCTGCTCAGAAAAATTTGCTGTTACTGACAAAACATTTATATCTCAAGAATGGTTCAAGCAGAATACCCAAAATTTGAAGGATAATTTCACTACTTTTTCTGAGTGTGATATTTTCATCTAATGCTCATATCTAATGACACCTGAAAGTAAAAATATAAACAGTTCAGTGATGGGTTGTTTGCCATAAGACAGCTAACAGCTGGTTGAAAAACGAATGCAGAAATGCCACAAGAATTTCAGTTAGGGTCAAGGAAACTTCTCATGAATATCTCTAGAGCAGAGGTTGAGAACCTGCACCTCATGAGTTGAATTTGACTCATGGGCTGTGGAAAAGAAAAAATGTGGTTTTTTTAATACCAACATCCAAAGGAACTTGAGAAAAAAATAGCTGCCACCATTGAAACTGAAATTTTTTTTGCCTGATGACTTAATGCAGCTCAAATTAAATGTTTTACATTCATGATTTTCACACCCTCCCCTTTCTGTGATCAATTGTTATGAGCAATTAAAAAATTGGTTCATAACTTTTAAGTTTCCTTTATAGGTAACCAGCAACAGGTAACGTTCAAGAGTTAAAATGTTCACCAAAATTGTTTTGTTTTTGAAGGCAAGTGGCATTTTAAAAATAATAATAAAAAATTGTGCCAGTTTAATTTGAGTACAATTGAAAATTGTTTGCATGATTGGTGGTTATTCAGTTCTCATTTGTAATGAAATTTTTGCTGTTAAAATCATGGTTGTTCCTCATTTGTCTCATGCCTCATGGGGTGTATGAGGGTGGAATTAATGGGGTTTGTGGCCAACTTCAAACAAAATTCTGTGATTCTGAATATATTTCACCCATGAGCACTTACCTCAATTTTAATTTAGTTCACATGGCTGAAAAGGTTCCCAATTTCTGTGCTAGTGGGTCACATGATACAGTTTGGTATGTCCTTTCAGCCTCTGCTGTCATCTCTTTCAGGAAAGTTACACTGCACTCAGACATGCACCAACACACCATATGGCATGTTTGGTGTAGCAGGTCGGATCTCTGAACACATCAAATGGCGTGAATGGCAGTAAAAATATTAAAATGGAGACCCAGGGGTTGAATCTATACCATGAAACAATTTTTATTCACTGGAATGAATAAAAGCCAGTTCAGATCTTACTAAGCAGGGAAGAGTATTACATCTGACTGTGTAAACTATGTCTGACCCTTCTAGAGGAGGTAGATTCATGTGTAATGAATGAGATCACCTAGGGGCAATAACCTAACTTGGTTGACTTGTACTTCCAGCATTGGAAAAAAAGAAACATAACAGATGTATAATAGAAGAAATCACAAAGGGTTTTAATCCTGTGAAGGAATTTAGATTGTCACAGAGAGACAATAAACAGCCTTTGCTGGAGTACTTCCAACTGATCAGGATATCACCTTTAACATTGACATAATGTGGAAAGTAATGTGCTGGGGTAATTTTGAATGAGTGCTGTTATCCCCTGCCAAATTCTAGATTGCATCAGAGCCCTTACAGAGAGACATCAATCATCACAGATGCAGACAACATTCTTGTGCTTGTCAGGTCATAGAAAAGTCAACCTTTTCTGGCAAATTGAGTTGTCAAGAATGAATTTAAAATCAAAATTCAACTTCTTTGCTCCAAGACTGAATGAAATTGGTGCATGATACCTTGTTTGCAGTTAAACAAGAGAGCTTCCAGTTTTTTCCAACAAAAATGCCAAGGGTTCATTTTTCCAGAAAGAGAAACCGCTTTGGATCTAGGGGATGAATGTGGATAGATTTCAAAATTTAAAAGCAACTTTGCAGCATGTGAGCTTCACTTTACAAGTATTACTTAGAAAATATAACCATATAATGAATTGAAAAAATGGCAAAAACACTAATCATGATCATGCTGCAGTAAGAACTAAGTGCAATTCTTATGATGATCCTCCAATGACTCCCACATTCTTAGCCTGTGAATAGGGTCATTGCAAGGGACATGTGGAATCTTTTTTTTTTTTTCCTTCTAGACATGTTGAGCACCGGGTAGTTCAGTATTTGAGCTCTTAAGAAGGTACATGCACCAGGAAGGAGTCATGTAGTTAGAACCTCTTTTGGTGAGATAAGATTATGGGGAGATTCATGCTGTACTGTGTGCAGCATGTCAATATTGAGGTTTTACCCTTTCACCATGATGCCTAAGTCTACTCATTCACAGGAAATCATTCCTCTAGCACAACTCCCAAGTATACTTGCTTTCAAACTTCACATTCCCAGTGTGGGTTCCTATAATAACACACTTTCAAATATTTCTATCTATTAATTCATCTCTAAAAGTTGTTCCATTAAAACTCTGCCATGAAGGGTTAATGACTATACTTTGACATGCATTTTGGACATTTTGGATATATTGAGTTAATTAATTGGTTAGTCAGTTAGTGCTGCAGGTACAATACAGTGGCCAAAACAACAGAAAATAGCTATTAAATACATTACTTCAGATCTCTGGTACATCTTGATGGTTGCTAATGAATGTCTGTGCTATCATTGATCTATGGCCTGAAAGGTCACACTGTTCCAAATTAAGCTTTTATTCTTGTGTATGGAATAACTTAAGAGGGTGGAAGTTAGTGTTGCAACGGGGTATCTGCTCTGTCATCCTTACTATAAAGGATTATCTTGAGTGTTGCTAATGTCAGGGAGTTGGGATGGACAGCTGAACTTTTCTTCACTTCCCTAAAATTTGAGAACCATTTAATGCTTACCGAAAACCTTTTGTTTTACTTATCTTATGACAACCTTTCTGACATCTCTCGCTGGATTTGAGAAAAGTTGAGGGAACCATGTCCAACCTTATGGTGGAGACCATGAATATCATGCCCTTTCAGGAACAGGATCTACACCAGAGCCCCTACATGACTACCATCAAGTGCCTCAAATTGAGCGATCTTTTGCCATCAAAAGATGGCTCGTCAAAGCTTTTTCATGGGCTTGAGGAGAGAAAAACTTATTTTGCTATCCCATCACAGATATAATCTTTATTCATAAGACACAGATTATAATACGACAGAATAAATAATAACATCAATCCTAGAATTTCGACTGCCACATTTATTCAAAGGTTTCCCATGCAATGAAGGATACAATATCCAGGTGCATTTCACTTATGGAATGTGATGAAGGAAGTCTGAAGATTAGTAAGGAGTGGGATCACCTTCATTGACGAGGTCTCTCTTGTCAGTTGGTTGGGCTGCAGCTCGCATGTCCTCCAATGGGGCTCTGAAATGCACATAACCACTCAAGTCAATCAAAATTTATGTCTAGGTATTGCCAGCCACTCGTCACCTTCACTTCATTCCATCACCAACAGCATTTTTTGAAAATATTTCTTCCAAGTGTTCTTCACTGATATACAGGGTGGGCCAAAAGTTTTTGCCCCTGTATAAAAATGTGAATATCTCCTGAACGGTTTGGGCTACAGAGTCGAAAAAAAAGCTAAAAGAAAGTTCATTTCATCCTCTTTCTGAAAATTTATGGTTTTAGGTTCCTACATTCATTTGGAGATGAGTCATGGCCGTTTGAAAAAAAAAGCATACCGAAAAAAAAGTTGCCAAAACGAACCTATACCGTGCCGCCCGCGGAAATCATCCTCAGCAGCTGGCTTCAAGGTCGCGCGCGCCGTCGTTTTCTTCCTTCCTAATAGCTCCCTACCTTCTTTCCCTTCTTCATAATGTGAAGGATGAAAATTTGAAGACTTTGATGCTTGATTTGGATAACCGACCAGCAGAAGATCGTGACAAAAGTTAAACGACCTCCGGTGGTCCACTCCGCGCGTTGTGCTGAGTGCTGGTCTTTGCAGTGTTAATTTTTTTGTTAATTTACCTTTTTTTAAACTCTTATTCAGAAACCCTTACAGGGAAAATTGGTCACAGCGTCAATGTTTTCTGGCGTTCTTACTCTTCTGGGACGGCCTGTGACTGGAAGACGTTCAGCACTGCCGGTTTCACACAGTTTTCGCAAGATATAACGCACAGTCGTTTTTTTTTTCCATTTTCGATCGGGATATTCACGCAAGATTTGGTTCAAGGTAAATCCTTTTTCTTCACGAAGCGACCGGATTAAAACTCTATCACTCTCAGTTAGAACACAGTTTGTACCCATTTTCCCTGTAAGGGTTTCTGAATAAGAGTTAAAAAAAAGGTAAATTAACAAAAAAATTAACACTGCAAAGACCAGCACTCAGCACAACGCGCGGAGTGGACCACCGGAGGTCGTTTAACTTTTGTCACGATCTTCTGCTGGTCGGTTATCCAAATCAAGCATCAAAGTCTTCAAATTTTCATCCTTCACATTATGAAGAAGGGAAAGAAGGTAGGGAGCTATTAGGAAGGAAGAAAACGACGGCGCGCGCGACCTTGAAGCCAGCTGCTGAGGATGATTTCCGTGGGCGGCACGGTATAGGTTCGTTTTGGCAACTTTTTTTTCGGTATGCTTTTTTCAAACGGCCATGACTCATCTCCAAATGAATGTAGGAACCTAAAACCATAGATTTTCAGAAAGAGGATGAAATCAACTTTCTTTTAGTTTTTTTTTTTTGACTCTGTAGCCCAAACCGTTCAGGAGATATTCACATTTTTATACAGGGGCAAAAACTTTTGGCCCACCCTGTATATTCATGAAACCCCCAAGGACCACAGTAACTCCATCATATTGAGTGCCTCGCTCTTTGAGGAGGCAATCATCGTGTTCCCTTGCCTTTCTGAGAAAGTTTAGACATCTAAAGTGAATTTGAAGATAGTGTGCTCAGGATTCTTTTGTGCCTCAGGACTGTGTTAGACAGGTTTACAAGTGAATAATGGAAATGCTTGAGTGTGCACCTCAATTAATTGCATAAGGTGAATGGTGAGGGTACAAAGAATGTCCAGTGAGCAGCTAAAGGTACATAACCTGTAATAATGAAGTGAGTAGAAGCAATCAGTGCACATCATGAGAGACTCATCAACTGACTTTGGTGAGCCACAGACACATTTCACCAATAATGAAACAACAGCATCAATGGATGGATTCAACACCACACCACCCTCTATATGTATTTTTAGGCATGAAAGTTTTTTTCTATCACTCCAATGGTATAATGAGGTTCAAGAATAAAATCTCTGGGGGTAGAAGCAGCATCTGTCCAGACATCCCAGTAATTATCACAGCAGCTAAATGTCTCTTGCAGATGCAGTACATTGCATTCATTAAACAAAGTGTACTTGTCATGGATGCATCTACTTCTCATGAAGGATTTCCCAAATAAAATGTCTGAGTCACCTTCAAAATTGGTGTGTCATTCAAGACTGTGGCCAAGATTCACCAGATTCTTCCTGAGGAATTCAGAAGCTCAACCAAATATTTATGATGAAATGACAAGTGCTTCTGGGGAGAGGAGAACTAGGATCAGCAACTCCTACCAAAAGTGATTTTACATGTTATCAAACCTTTGCATGTGTTGGAATGGACTCCTTAATTCTTGAAAGAATCTAATGTATCTAATCAGTTCATGAAATTAGATTAAGACTGACATCCTTTTTGGAAAAACCTACATGAAAAGTAGATGTGTCTTAGGAATACACCAAGATTTTCAAAATGAAATATTAGCAAAAGACCTACAGATATAATTCATGATTATGTGAATGATGCTATACAAGGTAAGCAGAGAATTCAATTGAGGGCTCACATGTGACTGAATGGAATTCATTTGAACTGATCTACTTCCCTCTTGCTTCAACACATCTCAGCCACATTTAGGTCAGTCTATCCTATTGCAGGTAGCCTAGAGCAGTACATGAATATGGAAAAAGGGCATGTGGGGGCATTTATGCCCTTTTCCAGAGAACTTGACTCCTCTTGTACCACTGTGGTGGAAGGACAAGGAACTTCCTGGCTGACTCTCATATGCTTCCTAGAAATGTGCACATGGTGAGTAATTGTGACTATGCAAATTTTTTTTTCAATTTAATTTTTTATCAGTTTCAACATGTGAAGGTATTTTCCTATTTCATTTTTAAAAAAGCCCAATTTGTATCTTACTCATGTGGGTCAATGTAATATGAAAAGATTTCAATTTCTGAGAAGGAGGAACACCAAGTCAAGATGTCACATTATTTGTATCGCTGAGCCTTAAAATGATGCAATAACAAAGTCATGTATGCTGTCAAGTATTCTCTCATACAACAAAGTGATAACAAGAAATGTTATAAAAATGAATGTTTCACTATTACAACATCAAAACTCTTTAAAAACAAATTGTCAGATAAAAAAAATAGCATAATCTTTGGAATACCAAAACTGATAATTGAAGTTCAATATGTTTCAAACTCAAAAATAGAAAAGTCAATGAAAAGGTCTGCCTCAGGCCCATAACTGACAAACTCTCTAGTTAACATAGATGAAGAACTATGCCATGCTACTGACATTTTGCTAAATTTATTTCTTTATATTGACTTCACAATTAATACCATGGCTATAAAATTTCCTATGAACCAAAAATGGGTAGAACTATGAGGCCTTCATGTTGACATTAATTGATTTTCATAAAGAGCAACTTCTTGGATCCTTACCAAAACCCAAGAACACCTCTCTCTTTCTTTCTTGGATGTTTTTGAGATTTTTCATTCAAGCAGTTAGACTCCAGTGACTCAGAAAGCCAAAGCATCCAAAGCAATGCCAAATATTCTCTGCAAATGGCTAGCCACCATCTGTGGAGAATCCTTGGTGCAGTACTTCAAGAGCAGACTAGGAGCAAAAACAATAGTTAAAACTGCCCAGGCTATAGACTTCAGACATTGGGATATAGGATTTGCTAACTTTTCACAATAAAAAGCCAGAACTCATGGAAGAGACTACTAAGAACAACTACACATAATTTACCTAGCATTGACAGAGAACAAAGGAACTGGTTCATCACCCAATTTCCCAGGTGGGAATTGAGTTGACTCAACTATTTCCCCAGGCAGGAGTGGGAAAATTCAATAGCCCCAGGGATGAAGGGGCTGTGACAGTACAATTGAATGGAAGTTTTGGAAGCTTATCAACAAATGGTTTTTTCTACCTTAAATTGGTTATGCTCTTCTCTTGCACTCGGACGCCATTCATTCCTGTGTGCCAAAAACTAGCCAGAATTCGATGTCTCATAGAACCCCTTCTACCTCTCAAGAGGTAGCAGGAGTTCTTGATATGTGTTGACCTGCACTATAATTCCATCCTCTCTCCTTACCTGCAAGTACAGGGTGACACAAAATGATGTGCCATTCTTAGAGAAGGTTCCCAAATAGATAGGAAGTTCCATGTTTTTCTTTTCGATAGAGAATTGAAATCTGTGATTTTAACCAAAAATTATATCATTCAGTTGATTTGTTACTAAGTAGTGAATATGTTTTTCTTACTCCTTTATCCAATAATGACAACAACAAAACATTGATTCAACCATCAGTATGGTCACTGTCAGCTTTCAGAACCTCCTAAATATGTTTTGCATGGAACAAAGAAGACTTCAAAGACCAAGCAAGTTACCAGACCATCAATACCCCATATTTCCCCTATCCTTGATGAGATTTTGAGTTGCACTTGCTCTCTTGCCTTGTCATGAATGAAGGCTACCTTGCTGTTGTTGTTGATCTCAAGGAAGGGGAACATGAAGTTCAAGAACAGTTTCTTGGAAATACTCACTGTTTCCCAGATTGGCTCTTTTCCTCAATTACCCACATCATTTGCTTGGCTGTGAAGAGGAATAATTGATGCACACTGAAATTTTCATCACATGGTGGAAATGTTCATCTTCAGATTTCTATGGATATCCTCATGATTTTGATGAAGAATTTGTCGTTAAATGTGAAATGAAGCAAGTTCACTTCATAGTACAAAGAGAAAGATTCAGCCAGGAATTATTGCTAATCTATGGAAGCTTTTTGCACTGCAGCCTTGTTAACAGACAATTGGGCAACTTTCCTAAGAAAGATTTGCCGGTATCATTCAAAAATTGGCAAAGCTTTCCATTAACTCCTTGCTCCAAGAGTTTGAAACCCATTGAATTACCTGCCACCCAATTATGATCAATAAATTTGTAATAAATTCTAATAAATTCAGCATCTTGTGCTTTTTGAAAGACAATCAGCCAGACACACTTCATTTGAATTAAAGCCCGTTCTGCATCAGGCTGACTGAAAATCAGTATGAAAACACATTTAACAAAAAATTCACTGAATACTCAGGCATAAAACAAGCAGTAATACTGC